GGGTTGGACTGGATGGCCTTGAAAGGTCCCTTCCAACCCAAACTATTCGATGATTCTGTGATTCTATTGCATTTTCAGATTCTTTTTATTTTAATCGACATCTTGTTTCCCATAAGAAGGTTGTGGTCTGTCTAGAGACTTCCTTTGCTAGAATACCAGCGCCGCATAATTTTCCAATTTCACTGTGTGTTTTCCATTTCTGGACTAGTCGTTAGGCTGTGGGCTGTGGTTTTCGTCTTGTGTAGGAGACTTTTTTTTTTTCTGACACAGAAGTGAAAGAGCCCTTTGGAATATGCCTGCATGCATGTTCTTGAAAAGGCAGCAGTTTGGCTTTCCAGGTTTCTTTGCCCAATGCTCAGTCGTAGCGTTGCCCTCGGTAGCAGGGCGGGAGGTTTCTCGTCAGGTGGGGCACTGACACGCAAGTTGGACGAAGCTTCTTGCTCATGGCATGCACTGAGGCTTTTACTGGGGTGTTGGTTAGGGTTCTTTGAGCAAAAGGAGGAATATTTAGCTCAAATATTTTCAGAGGTCTCTGAATACAGCTGCTGTTGATGGGCGTCATGCACAGAAGGGTTGTCTCAAAGGCATTTGTGCTTGGAGGTGCCTCTTCTCAGTGGTCTGATGGGCCAGGAGAGAGGACTTTCCTTCCCACTGCTGCGTCCTGGCTGCTGGAGGCATTTCTTTGTGACCCAAGGCAGTGACGTGGGGGGAAAATCTGGGGCTAGAGGGTGTCCGACATGGGCTGGGGAAAGATGGCTGGGGTGGCAAGAGCATCTTCCCAGAGGACTTCAGGTCCAAAGGGTGCCCCAGCAGTCCCCAGCTGCGGCGGACTGAAAAATATAGGCTCCACAAGTAGGACAGCCGCACAAGTAGGACACTGCTGATTCCCTTTCATGCAAAGCCTTGAGCTATATTTTGCTTTCCTCGTGTAATTTCTATCGCTTACGATATACGCTCATGGATAATTCGCGAGGAGCCTCCTGTTGTTGCACAGGTGTTGCCAAAGCAGAAATGCTTCCTCGGTCAGCGTTCCTTCAGCCCAATGGTTGGGTAATGCATTACTGAACACGGGGTGGGTTTAATTTGCTGATAAAAGGGAATGTATCCTAATACTGGTGAGCGAATTTTTTCCTGCTAGAAGAAATAACTGAATACTGCTACGCTTGCGGTTTTACAAATAGGAAGATTTTCTCAATAATCTATAAAAAAAACATGCCCAAATGATACCTTTGTCACTACTCCTTTATTTTACCAACAGCATATGAAATTGCAGGCCTTGCTGTGCCGGGCTGCTGGAGATCCTTGTACACCTATTGCAGGATGGGAGGTGATAAACGCAGAGACCCACCGAAGCTCCAGCACTTGTAGTCACACTCTGCTGACCGAAATCCGCCCCGGGGCAGCAATCCCACATGGACTGCGGTGAAAGTCTCCGGGGTAGGTGCTGCACCCAATGTTAACACGGTGGCTGTGCTGGTTTGGGTGGGTGGTGAGTGGAGCCTGGCCAGTTTCTGCTCCTTTTGCCCAGTTTGTACCGTATCTGTGTTCTCTGCCCGACCGTGCTTGCGTTTGGGTCATGGACTGAATGCAAGGGCACTCCCATGAATCACGGAATCACAGAATGGTCGGGGTGAGAAGGGACCTCTGTGGGTCACCCAGCCCAACCCCCTGCCCAAGCAGGGTCACCCACAGCAGTCTGCACAGCACCACGTCCAGGCGGGGCTGGAATATCTCCAGAGAAGCAGACTCCACAGCCTCCCTGGGCAGCCTGGGCCAAGGCCCCTTGCAGCCTTCTCTTCTCCAGGCTGAACAAGCCCAGCTCCCTCAGCTTTTCCTTGGAGGAGAGATGCTCCAGTCCCCTCCTCATCCTCGTAGCCCTCTGCTGGACTCTCTCCAGTAGCTCCTCATCTTTCTTGAAGTGGGGAGCCCAGCAATGGACACAGCACTGCAGATGGGGCCTCCCCAAGGCAGAGTAGAGGGGAAGGAGAACCTCCCTCGACCTGCTGGCCACATTCCTCTTGATGCACCCCAGGAGACCATTGGCCTTCTTGGCAGCCAGGGCACACTGCTGGGTCATGGTCACCTTGTCACCCACCAGCACTCCCAGGTCCCTCTCCACAGAACTGCTCTCCAGCAGGTCCGCCCCAGCCTGTACTGGTGCCTGGGGTTGTTCCTCCCCAGATGCAGGACCCTGCACTTGCCCTTGCTGAGGGCACTTTTTACTGATTTATCTCAAAGCAAGGTCTAAGATATGAGCTGCTGAGTCCTAGCAATGAGATAATCAAGTCTTAACGCTGTGTTCATTTTGGGTGGACATTACGTCTGTTTTTCATTCCTACCCTCCTCTGTCTGCCTCCTTCCTCTCAAAGCAGCTTGTGTTTGACCGGTCTTGACTCCGAAGGAAGCATCTCGATAACGCCTGTGCGTGGTCTGGTCTTCGAGCAGCTCTGTGTCTGCCTGCCTTGCCCAGAGCGAGCATGGTCTGGTGGCCAGGCTGGTGGCAGGGGAGGCAACATGCCTCAGCCTCGGTGACATTTTCTATGCCAGCAGCATCCAGAAGTGAAAAGCAAGCTCTTCTGAAATTAAAAAATGCATGTCCTTCTTATCGCATACCTTGTCTTGAACTCAGGTACCCGTCTCGTCAGACGTGTGGGGGATTGTGAAGGTGGAGAGATGATTTTGTTGTTAAAGCAACAAAGACAGGGGTAGATCATGTACTGATGGAGAGACACAGTGCAGTAATTGCTTACCATAGTCTATGAAAGCTGTTAGGAGAGGTATGATTTTACACCAGAAAATGTAATTCCCCGAGCTTGATTTCAGCCGTAAATTGCTCTTGCAGAAATTGGCCTCCAGAGAAAAAGAAGCACCATCCTGGGTCTGGCTATAAACCTGTAACGTTCCTGTAGTCAGGACTGGGCAAAGCTGTGTCCTCGGCTACGCTGCACTGAAGAAAACAATACTCGAAAATCCCATTTGAAAAAGAAAGGAAAAACAAAAATAATAAAGAAACCCAACAGAATAATAAAGAAACCCAATAGAACAATCCAAAACCCCCAACCCGCTCCGTTCAGTTTAGTTTTGAGGACTGTGCATGCGAGTGATGACAAATAGAATCTTCTCCAGCCACGCTGTTCCAAAAAACCGGGAGGTTCCTGGAAATGCGCGCTGACCCGAGGTGCGGCGGTGCTAACCTCTCCTCTCGGTCTCGGCTTGCCTCCTCTCCCCTCTTACGGACAGCAAGCTGACTTTTGTCTGCGTGGTTGCTCTCAAAGTCCAAGCTCAATGAAGACCACCTTGTTTTCCGAGTGAGTTACATACGAAGAGCCGTGAACATCACGCGCCGTCCTCTCCGCCGTCAGCCGTGTGCTGCGGCAAAATGGGTGGTGAGGGATGTTTCCTAACCGGGTCTCTGGCTGGGTGGCGTTACATCTCCTACAACCTGTCAAATTACATGAATTTTCTTCGTTAGCGGGCTAGTTCCTCCTAAACCCTTCATGAAGGTCATGTAGCAACTGGTAACATATTTCCAGTGGGAAGAGATGGGTTATTTGTAGGAGAGTCTTACTCCCCATAATTATAATTATATCTAATTAGGCAATAATTTTATATATATATATAATTATGCAATAATTATACATATAAATAAATTAAAGCTGCAGTATGTGTATATCACAGCTAGGCTGACAGTTAATTGCAGATAGTTGCCATATAAAAAGCACTCCAAAAACTGTGTGGAATAAGATTTCTGGATGCTTCAGCAAATAAAAGTAATTTTTATACTATTTAGACAATATGGATAAATGAACCTGGATCATTTTTTTGCTCCTGAACAATTTTTTTGGTATCTCACCATAGCAGCCTTTCTGACAGAGGCGTAGCTTCTGGTTTATGCTGGGACCCAACGGCTCCATGAAATGGGAAAGTGAAGGCTTGAAAGTCGCCTGGTGTTTTTTTGACGGTTGGGGCTTATTCATCGAGGAATCCCCTGAAATACGTAACCCTCAGCAGGCGCTGAAGTTTCATTGAGTCGAAAGCTAAAGTCACCTAATTAAATGTTATCGCTGAGCCAAAGTGGCTTTCCCGCACTGGCGGTGGGGGCTCTGAAACCCAGAAAATCCTGCGGCAATCACCTGCTTCCCTTGGCTCTTCTCGCTTCCAGCCGTCGCCGGAGCTCGTGCGGCTTTCCCCACCACCCGGCCATGTACCGCAGCATCTCTGCTCTTCA